AGCTGATTGGGCCACAGCTGGCGTTACAATTAAGTATCAGTGCGCCAGGGTTCCTATTCCTTAGCCTCGAAATTACCTGCAAAATCCACAGTCACTACACTTTACAGTAAAAATCCTGTGACAGGCTCTGATGTGAAAGGCGCTAAATCAAATGCAAGGTGCAGTTACAGGCGGATCTTGTACCCACCACTTTATGGGGAGTGCAGGCAGGTTAACAAACACACAGGACGTGCACATATTGTGGGGATGATGTTGCTGTGTGTAATTGACTATATGGTGCTGCTGCTCAAGGTGGAGCCTGTCACTGACTCGGGTTTTTATTAATGAGGGCTGAAAGACGACACTGGGCTTCTGTGAGATAAAAGAGGGAGGGAAAGACCCACAAAGGATGTAATTTAATCCCCTCTCAGATGAGGTCAGCACCTGTGAGAGCCCGTGCTTGTCACCATTCCCAGCACCCGTTACCTGATGAAAGATACTCAGCACAATTCGTTTTGCAAATGCGCACATCTGTTACGGTAACATTGGAGGGTGCGGACTGTGAGGGGTGGGGGACAGGGCTCTTTATTTACCTCTTTGTGTGTGTGTGTATGTGGGTGGTGGGGATGAGAGGCTGATGGTGGGATCTTTACTGTGGATTTAACAACAATAGCAACTGTATTTTACATTGCTCCTTTCACATCGGACGGATGTGTCAACGCCCCAAACAGAAAGATCTTAAGGTGGATTTTAAAGGTGGGGACGGAGGCCATGAGGTGGAGGGATTCCCAGATGGGGGCAGAATGGCTAGAAGCTTGGCCACTGATGGTAGGGCAGATTGGGTGGGGATATGCAGTGAGCAGGAGGTCAAACGAGGTTGGCCAGGTAAGGTAGGGTGAGGTTGTGAGGATCAGTCACTCAGCACAGACTGGGGATTGAATCTTAATTGGTGGAGTCCTGTAGCTCAGTGGTTGGAGCACTCGCTTTGCAAGCGAGAGACCTGAGTTCAATTCCAGGCAGAGGGCGAAACCTTGGGCAAGTTTTCTTACTCCACAAAGAGCCTAATAATAATCCCTCCAAAACCAAAAAAAAATTGTTCATTTTCAATCTACGATTGTTTGTGGGACATTGCTGTGCGCAATTGGCTGCCGCGTTCGCCCACAAATATACAGTCAATTAACTTTACAGTGTGTTCTGTGAAGCGCTTTGGGTTGTCCTCCCGACGTGAAAAGCGTTATATCAAATGCAAGAATTATTATTATTATATCAGTCACTCAGCACAGACTGGGGATTGAATCCTGTATCTCTCAAGTGTGTAGGGTTCAGTTCCATGTCACACAATATATTTACTCTTGAGTTTTTGTGAGCTAGGAGGCAGCAGATTGAAGCTGGTGTGTGGACACATGTGATGGTGCCTGAGGGAGACTGTATTGTCATTGTGGTTCCCACGCTTGTCAACAGTGGTTCCTAAAGCAGGGGAAGGAGTTTGAGAGTTTAACTAAAAGCATGGCAAAGACATATAGAAGTGTTCTGAAGGCAGGCAAAGAAAGCAAGGGGATTTGGGGGCAAATTTTCCAGAGAGTATGGTAATAATGATGAAAACTTGGCCACCAATGGTGGAAAGAACTTTCAGTCATCTTTCCCTACACCTCAGCTCCCACCCTTAGGTCAGGTGCTCAGACCGAATTGTCAAGCACTTTGTGACATCCTGTTGATATCAAAGGCGCTATGTAAGTGTAAATTGTATTGTAAGCACTGCACCTCAGGGTTAGCTTTCCTGTACACATTCCAAGCTATTCTCTCATGTTTCTTTCCCTCCCTTCTCCCTCCGTGACCCCAGCTAGGGTCTGAAATGCTGTCACTGACCAGTGCCTTGGGACGTCCTCCCGACGTGAAAGGTGCTATACAAATGTAATCTTGTTGTTGTTTCCCCTGTTTATCTCTCTGTCTCTTTAATCTGATCCAAACATCTTTCTCTCTCCTTCTCTGGCCTCATTCCGAGCCGTCCGTTTTGCAGTGTGCTTGCATCTCACACACTGCCATCCCATGACACGCAGCGAGACACAACATGACCCCATTGATGATCAGAAGTGTTTAATTCATGGAAAACTCCTGTTGAAATACTTGCGTCCATTCATGAGGTGATCAAGTGCTGGTTGGGAGAGAGCCCTGTTATCAACGCAACATAAATATTGGTGAGCAAGAGATGACAACACAAGCTAAGACCTTTCATGTTTTGATCTTTTGATTTCCGGGAGCCTGGGTGTCACGCCTGGACCGACCAGATGAAAGTCGTTCACTGTTGGCTGTAAGAGTTTGAAGTGAAATTTATCTCAGTGTAGGTCAGAATCACAAGAGTTACAGGTTCACAGCACAAACACACTCATAAGTTATACATTATTGAGCTAAATTGGCAATCTCAGTCAGAGAGACCAAAGCAATGGCTCCCTCTCAAAGGGACAATCTGCTCTGATTTAGGTTAAGGCACATTTAGGGCAGGATGAAAGACACGTTCTCGGAGTTCTCAAGACATACCACCCCCATCTAATAACTAACGTAAATGCTAAGTGACACTTCCTCAGTGGATCTACATGTCTCCCTGCAGGAGCACATTACTGTACTGCTGCTCAAGAGATGAAACCCCGATGATGAATTCACAGTCCTTCGTTGTTAATTCCAAGGCTGTGTATTTCACTGCTTGACCTTAACATACAACATTCAGTTCCACACATTGTGAAATTAGCCAAACGGAACATTTGTTTCCACTCTTAAATCAAAATGCAGATGTAAATGTTGTCATTTTGACTTTTTTTGTTGGTGACTTTGAAGTTTAGGGCTTTCTCAGTGTGCTGTGTTGCTGAAAAGCTATTGCTACAATTCAACTAGAGAAACTTGTCATTGAATTACAGTGACAGTCATTGAATGTGCCTTCTTGTCATGCTAATAATATTCACCTTTTAGTTTCTCATTTGAGCAACAAATATTTTTAAGCAATATTGTTGTAAACAAGGGTAACTAACACAACAACAACAACAACTTGGACGTAAATAGCGCCCTCTTCGCCGGACGGCGTCTCAGAGCGCTTTACAGTTTAGGATCCCGGGGCCGAGCCGGGGGGAGGGGGGGGAAGGTGACCAAAGGCCCGGTTGAAAAGAAAGGTCTTCAGCAGAGACCTGAAAATGGGAAGGGAGGGAGCGAGATGAAGGGAGTGAGGAAGGCAGTTCCAGAGCCTCGGGGCATAATGGCTGAAGGCACAGCCACCGAGGGTGGAGCGGAGGACTCGGGGGACGAGGAGGAGGCCAGACCCGGAGGAACAAAGGCAACAGATACTGTGCTGAGGAGAGAGGAGGTCAGAGAGGTCGGGGGTGCAGAGGAGTGGAGGGACTTGAATACAAGGGTGAAGATCTTGAAGTCGATCCTCTCTGGGAAAGGCAGCCGGTGCAGTCTGGCCAGGACTGGGGAGATCGGGGAGCAGAGTTTAGTGTGGGTGAGAATGCGGGCGGCAGAGTTCTGAATGAGTTAGATTTTATGGATGGTAGTGGATGGGAGACCGGCGAGGAAGGCATTTAAATAGTCCAGCTGAGAGGTGACAAATGCATGGATCAGAGTTTCAGCGGCTTTTGCGGAGAGGTATTTGCGGAGACGGGCAATGCGTCGGAGGTGGAAGAAGGTGGTGCTGGTGAGGAACCGGATATGGGGGAGGAAGGATAATTGGGGGTCGAACCTGACGCCTAAGTTGCGTACGGATTCCGAGAGTTTTAGGGGGAGGTCGGGTAGGTGGAGGAGGTGAGAACCGTGAGAATTTAGACGTTGATGAGAGCTGAAGAGTATGGCTTCCATCTTGTCAACGTTCAGCTGAAGGAAGTTTGCGCTCATCCAGCTCCTGAGGTCTGACAGGCAGCTGATAGAACATCAGGGGACTGGGGGTCGCAAAGAGAGGTGGAAAAGTAGAGTTGGGTGTCATCTGCATACATGTGGAAATGTACCCCATGTTTGCGGATGACATCCCCATGAGGGAGCATGTCGATCAAGAAGAGGAGGGGCCAAGGATGGATCCTTGGGTACCCCACAGGTAACCGGGTGAGACCGGGAGGAGAAGCCGTTTATGCAGATGTACTGCTGGCGGTTTGTGAGGTAGGACTCAAACCCGGCGAGTGTGGTCCCACTGAGGTGGATGATGGAGGAGAGGTGGTGGAGGAGGATGGCGTGATCGACTGTCGAACGTGGCGGAGAGGTCCAGGAGGACAAGGAGGCAGAGGGAGCCCTGGTCACAGATAGAGAGGATGTCGTTTGTGACTTGAGGGGTTCGAAGAGGGAGTGGGAGGAGAGGTGTGCGCGGAGTTGGTTGGCAACAACGTGTTCTAGAACTTTTGAGAGGAAGGGCAGGTTAGAAATAGGGCGGTAATGGCTGGGGTTTGAGGGATCTAGGGAGGGTTTTTTCAGGAGGGGGGTGATGACAGCAGTTTTGAGGGGGGCAGGGACTGATCCAGAGGAGAGGGACTGGTTGATAATGTCAGCCAGTAGTGGGCAGAGGAGGGGGAGCTGTGTGACCAGTAAGTTGGTGGGGAGGGGGTCGAGGCAGCAGGTGGTGGGTTTCATGGAGGTGATGGTGGGTGAGAGGGAGGAGGGAGAGATGGGGAGGAAAGAGTGCAGAAAGGGGGTGGTGGTAGGAGCAGATGATGAGGAAGGTGAGGGGGACAGAGAGGGCGTGGTGGTGGGTGACAAGGGGCAGGTGGATGAGGCTGCCTGGCGGATGTTCAGTATTTTAGTTGAAAAGAAGTCCATGACCTCCTCGCACTTGGCATTTGATATGAAGATTGAGGAGGCCTGAGGGGGGGCACGGAGGAGGTAGTGGGTGGTGGAAAAAAGGATTTTGGAGTTGTTTAGCCTCCAAGATGATGTTGGAGTAGAAGGCCGTTTTTGCGCATGTCACGTTTGGCCGACGAGTTAAAGATATAGTTCAGAGACAACACTGCGTTATTAAAGTTCCAAATCTTGACACAACAGCAAGTAACTCCAGTTTTTAACAGTTTTTTTTATTTAATATCATTAATCAATGGTAATAATATCCACAATAGTATCGTTAGGGCCAGACGGCCAGATATTCTAACACTATTCGTAATACAAGCTGATCAGGGACACAATGGGTTTTATTTTTTCTGCTTTTACAATGAATTCCATTTCCTCAACGCAATATTGCCAAGTCTAAAGAATGTTCTCATTTTTGTGGTTAAGTTCAGACATTGTTTGTGATGGATGGGATTTACCAGTGCAAACCTCTGCTGCCACTTGGAAAGATAGATGACCTCCTGAGGTTCAGGTCGTGACACCAGACGGTATCCTTGGTTTGACACAGCTTCTAGCGCTTGCTTTACGATTTCTCTTCTGTATCCTTCGATGATCTCAAACGATTTCTCTGTTGTTAGGAAATCAACTGAAAGTTCAGTGTGTTCACTGACCACTATTACGTCTTGTTCGATCCCGTGGGGCAAATCGTATGAGAGTTTCTTTAAGGCGTCAATGATGGTTGTGTTTTGACAGGATGCTTCAAAGACCATTTTGTGCTTTGTACCCATATGTGTAACTGTGAATGTGATGAAGGTACTAATGTACCAGTTGCTGAAACAGAACAGAGGTTTTGAAAATGCAGTAAATACAAATATACAATGCCATGCCATTATATGGAATATGCAATTATCCAAAGTTCATTTCACTTCAGGTCTTGCACCTCATATAGTCTAAACTGCCATTCCAGTGCAGTGCTGGGAATGTACTGCTTTGTTGGAGGTGCCGTCCTTCAGATGAGCAGTTAAACCGAGGCCCCATCTGCTTGTTCGAGTGGATGTTAAATATTCCAAGGCACTATCCTAATAGCGAAGGGAATTTCTCCCAGTGTCCCTGGATAACAATCCTCCAGATAAAATTAATCATTCATTCCATGGCTGTTTGTTGTACATTACTGGGTGCAAATTGGCAGCCACGTTTTCCTCTAAATCACACAGTAACTACACTTAATATTAAATCCTGTGAAACATTTTGAGACATCCTCCTGACATGAAAGGCGCTATACCAAAGACAAGGACTATAATAAATAGTGGTATTTTCCCCACAAAACACATCCCGTCTTGCCCCTATCCGTCCCGGAGCTGTTTGTAGTTTATACCTGAGGGAAATCAGCACACCCTGCAAGCGATCGAGAGGAACTATCTTGGGGGCAGTTAACAGTGGTAATCCGTTCAGATGGAGACAGGTAGGGAGGGCATTCAACATTGCATCAAATTATGTCAATAAGACTAGCTTCTGAGATTTCTGCCACACCCTCCCCATACCCAGTACGCACACACAGCTGGAGTAAAACAATTGTATTTGAAAAACAGATGTCTTACCATAGTATTACTTGGATGATGATAGGTATCATTTTGTCCCAACAGTGAAGAGGCACAAGTGCTTTAGATTGTGAGTGCTCTTGCACTTGATCTTTTATATAAACGTCAGGTCAGGGAAAGTCCCATTGCATCAGCAATTTTATTTCATTTATCACAAAACGAAAGGAAAACTTAATATAAACTGATGTGTTGCAAAGATTTCTCACAGGGCTCCAAGACATTTACTGTAAAGTGTGGTTAGTCTATCTTTCATAGTTTTCATAGGCAAATGCTGCAGCCAGTTTGCACTCAGCAATATCGCAGAAACAGCTATGAAGTAAATGATCATGTTTATCTTGGGATGGTTGGCCAGGATACCAGGTGAAACTCTTGGCTGAAGACCTTTTTGACCGCACCTTTGGTCACCTGCCTCCCCCTCCCCCTGTTTCGGCCCTGGAATTTGTTACTGTGAAGCGCTCTGAGACGCTGTCTGGCGTGGAGGGCGCTATATAAATCCAAGTTGTTGTTTTTGTCGTTCCTTTTCAATTCGTGCCATTGGATCTTTTACATCAACCGGCACCTCCCTCCACAAGCTGCAGGTCATTCAGAACTCTGCAGCTCGTGTACTGTCCCGCACCAGGCTTCGGGACCACATCACTCCCACCCTCGCTCGCCTCCACTGGCTCCCCATCCCCCAGAGGATCGAATTCAAGATCCTCACCCTCACCTACAAGGCCATTCACGGCCTCGCTCCCCCCTACCTCTCCAACCTACTATCCCCCTACCTACCCGCCCGTACCCTCCGTTCCTCTGGCTCCGGTCTGCTCCACATCCCCCGCCCCAACCGCCCTACTATCGGTGGCCGGGCCTTCAGCCCCGAGGCTCTGGAACTCTATCCCCCAGTGCCTTCGCCGCCTCCTCCCTTTCCTCCTTCAAGACCGGTCTCAAGACCTTTCTCTTTGACCGTGCCTTCAGCTCCCCTCTCGACTCTCTACCCCCTCCTCGCTCCCTCCCTTCCCTCCCCTCACCCTGACCATTTCCCCCTTGCTCGGGTCCTGACCCAACTGTACAGCGCCTTGGGACGTCCTCCCGACGTGAAAGGCGCTCAATAAATGGAATCTTGTTGTTGAACAGCAGCTTGGTTTAAGGCAATCTGAGCTCAATGACAACTGAACTCATTAACTAAGCACTGGACTGTATTTTAAACCTGCAAACATTAATGATGAAGCCGTGACACCTAAAACATTAGCCTATCTTTTCTCTTTCAGATGTTGATTCAAATGTCTTTGCTCAGAGGATTGTTTGGGTTTCATCACCTCAAGCAGCTTTTGAAGCTGGATCAATAGAATTGTTCAAAAGGGCGGATAAACATCTGATCAGATGTTAAGGAAGGGTGGAGTGTGATTAATAATAACAAGGCAATTTAGAAAAAAAAACGGGCAAAAGAGGCCAAGACAAGATGAACTGAGGACCTCCTTCTGTGCTGAAATGTTCGGAAGTTTTGTCATCAGAAACGGGCCACATAATTCAAGGCAACCAACTGTATGTGAACTTTGACTGAGAACGGTAGAATAAATGGGGAGTTTGTGCCACATCTTGCCAATTCTGGCTTCAGTAATATTCAGTGTTTGTTGAGCAAATACGATTTTACCACAGTTAATATTTCTAGCCCGCCAGCTCAACAGGAGCTAAAGAGATTTGACTTTCAATATGTTTAGCGCAGAAACTTGCACGTTGTTATGCTCATTTCAATAATCCTTGCATTTGATATAACTCTTTACATATGGAAATTCCTCAAAGGGGTTTTTTCTCTGTTTGGTTCAGGGACTGTAGATTTATAGGTGAACACAACAGTCAATTTGCACATACCATTGGTTTGACGTCTTTCACGTTGAGAGAATGTCTCAGAGGGCTTTGTGTGCATTTTGTGGGCAAACTCAGAAACCAACCTGTGTTATGGTAACAGCTGGAGTTTAACCAGCTAAATCCTCATGGCTTGCCGACGTAAAAGGTGCTCTATAAATGTAATTTTGTTTGTTGTTGTTGCTATTGAGTGGCTCTCTGGCAAGCTTTCCACTGCTTGTTCAACGATGGCATCCTGCCTATTAAGGCTTTGGCTTGTGGGGAGCCGAATGGGAAATATTCCTGCCCACAGTGACAAGCTCACTGCTCCCCCATTCCCTCTCTCTCCTCTCTGCACCAGGGCTGGTGTTGCCTGGCTGCTGGTGTGAAACCGAGTTACTATTGCCGTTCATACTAACACTGTTATTAAGTCGGATAGCAAAGCTCCAGCCTACACCAATCTTTTATATAATAATAATCCTGGCATTCATTTGATACAGCGCCTTATCATGTCTGCAAGACGTCTCAAAAGGCTTCACAGGATATACTATAAAGTGAATTGATTGTATATTTTGTGGGTGAAACGTACATTTGTGACTCTTCAGTCACTGGTGTCACATTGTAAACATTTAATCAGAATAAAAAAAAGTATAGTTTTGTCACCTGACTTTATAGATAATCGTTTTTTTCTAAAGAGCTGCCTGGTAAAATGTGCTTTATTTGTGTGTGATCACACTATTGGAATATACAATTTACATGGATAAAAGCCCCTTTTCTGCGTTGGGAGAACGTCCCAAAGAGCTGACCGTGGAAGAGACATGCCATTGCTTGTGTGCTGGAGCCAGACCCCACACAAAAAACGTTTGCCAAACATTTAATCTTGAGGGTAGTGCACCTTTAATATGAAAGTACAGCATTGGCAGAATAAATATAGTGTTATTTCCCCCTCCTCCCCACCTTCAGATACTGTCTGAAGACGTCTCTCTTCGACCGCCACAATGATCACCTCTCCCTCCCCCCGTCTCGGGGTCGTGCTCCGTCACTGTGAAGCGCTCTGGGGCGCTACCCTGGATGAGGGGCGCTGCGTAAATGCAAGTAGTTGTTGTTTTACTCACTTCTGCAGGAAAGACAATAGACTGCCAACCAAACAGACCTCTAAAAAAAACCTTTAAACTATATCACTATCTCACTCATTGCCCCCACAGCGAGAATGGTAGAATCTAACCTGTGTATGAGAGATAATTAATGGGAATGAGTGAATGATCTCCAGTTCGGGAGCTCTTCAAACTGATGGGATTGAAATAACAATACAGTACATTAGGTGGGGGTCAGGGAGATACTAGAATCCACTGTACACTCGGTCAGTGCACGAAGTTCATTATAATTCATTTGGTTATTAGTGAGTCTGGGGGGGTGGGGGGGAACAGGTGTGTAGGTTTCCTGGGTGACAGTTAGTGGAAAGTTAGACAGAGAGAGGGAGCAGTTTGGGAATTAACTCACTGAGCCGTTCAGTTCCACCTCTGCACCTGCTGACTCCGCCTGGGGAGGGCTTTTATTGTGTGTGTGTTGCTGAGTCTCTCTCACACTGTGCTGCTCAGTCATTGTGAGTGGTGTGTGTGTGTGTGTGTGTTTGGTCCACTGAGCCGGAGCCCAGAGAGCTTTACCGAGAGAGAGGACCGTAGATACATTGGGACTGGAAGCCAGGGTGAGCAACAAGCCATGGCTAACAGTGGGCTGGAGATCCTGGGCATCGCCCTGAGTGTGCTGGGATGGCTGGGATCCCTCATCTCCTGCATCCTCCCCATGTGGAAAGTCACCGCTTTCATCGGCAACAACATCGTGGTGGCTCAGATCATCTGGGAAGGTCTCTGGATGAACTGCGTGGTGCAGAGCACAGGGCAGATGCAGTGTAAGGTGTACGACTCGTTGCTGGCTCTCTCTCAGGATCTCCAAGCCTCCAGAGCCCTGACCGTCATCGCCATCGTGGTGGGAGTGCTGGGTATCCTGATCTCCATCGTGGGCGCCAAATGCACCAACTGCATCGATGATGAAGTAGCCAAAGCCAAGGTGATGATCGTAGCCGGGATCCTCTTCCTCCTGGCCGGCCTGATGACCCTGATCCCCGTGAGCTGGACAGCCAACACCATCATCAAGGATTTCTACAACCCATTGGTGACGGACGCCCAGAGGAGAGAGCTGGGGGCCTCCCTGTACATCGGTTGGGGAACCTCTGGGCTGTTGCTGCTGGGAGGGGCTCTGCTCTGCTGCTCCTGTCCCCCCAAGAACGACAAATACCGGGGCCCCAGAGTGGCTTACTCGGCTGCCAGGTCCACAGCTCCCAGTGGCTATGACAAGAAGGATTATGTGTGACTTGCCTTGTGCCTGGGCTGTCTCTGCCTCCCCTCTCCCCTTCCCCAGGAGGGTCTCTCTGCCTATTGGAGATGTGATGTCCACTGAATGTTTGGACGCCACCTGATCTGTTTTTTATTGCTGTGTCATTTGATACAGTGCTTCATCTCATCATGTGTCTAGCTTTTAAACTAGTATGTTGCTTTTTTATATATATATATATATATATATAATGTATATGTTAAAAAGAGATGAATTTCAAACCATTAGAAAAAAGGTTTTAAATGCACCTGTAACTCCGACTCCCCCCACCCCTTGTTGCTGGTTGGGAATGAAGGGAAGTCAATCGATGGCACCCTGTTTGCTTTGTCTGTAACTGTGTGCACAGTATTGGCAGTAGCTTCATGCCCTGGCACCTCGCTACCTCTCCCACCTGTTTGCTCCCCAACCCACTACCCGCTGCCTCCCCTCGATTGGCTCCGACCTCCGGTATGTTCCTCGGGCCCTGCGTTTCACCATCGGAGGCCGCGCCTTCAGCCATTACGCCCCGAAACTCTGGAACACACTTCCTCTATCCCTCCGCCTTTTCCCTTCATTCCCCATCTTCAGGTGACACCAGAAGACCTTCCTTTTCAACCGTGCCTACAGTTACCTTCCCCTGGCTCAGCATCATGCTCTGCCACTGTCAAGCACTCTGGGACGCTGACCTGTGTGAGGGCCTCTGTGTAAATGCGAGTTGTTGTTGTTGTAGCTGTGTACAGTATTGACTGTGGTGGTGTACACAGTATTGGTATTGGCTGTAGGTGTGTACAGTATTGACAAGCTGTGTGCTGTAACAGTGACTACCCTGGTGTGAGCTCGGTTTCCCTTACTTGTGTAACTGACACTGAGTCCTTGCCTAACATCTGTTTGCAGGAAGCTTTTGCAAATGTGCCTGCTGGGCTGTGGAACAATGCAGAGCGACTTTTTTTTAGCTTAAACTGAATAAAACCTTGTTGCGATGTACACGTAAGCACTTTTGTCATCCATTCTCTGCCACGCGTTGGGTTGGATTTGCAAAATATGGTGAGTCAATGGGGGAGGGTAGTGGACTGGACCGTCCAACAATAACAATAATAAATTACATTTGTATAATGCCTTTCATGTCAAGAGTGCACGGTAACAAAAGGCAATAGTTTATAACTCTGGTTTGACACAGAAACTTATTTTAAGAGTCTCCGTTTCTCTGACCTCCACCCTTCCAATTCTGACTCTCTCGGTCCTATCAACCCATCTTGTATGTCAGTAGCCTAATAATAATAATCCTCGCATTTGATACAGTGCTTCATCTCATCATTGAGATGTCTCAAAGTGCTTCACAGGATACACTGTAAAGTGAATTGACTATGTATTTTGTGGGCGAAACACGGTAGCCAATTGCACACAGCAGCGTCCCACAAACAGTCATGGATTGAGTGACCAAATTATTAATTTTTTAATGGATTATTACCCCCAGAAAAGCAATCCAGCAATCGACTAACGACCGAGTTCCTACTTACTGCTCGGTAAACAGAGGGGGGTGTGTGGAGTAAGGAAACTTGGTTAACGTTTTGTCCTGCTCAGGAATCTAACCCTTTGTTCGTCTCTGGCTTCCCCACGCCTTCTCCCCCCCCCCCCCCCCACTCCCACCTCCACCCCCCCATTCTGCTATTTATACCTGCTTCTCAGAGCTGGCAGACACTGAGTCTCAGGGGTGCCACAGGACTCCACATCCAGCACCCGTCACAAACACAAGCTGTTCTCTGACTCTGGCTCAACTTTTCTTTGTTCCCTCACTCTCTCTCTTTGACTTTCTGACTTCTCTTCCCTCTGTTTCTTCCCACAGAATGGGCACAAAATACACAGTCAATTCACTTTACAGTATATCCTGTGAAACACTTTGAGACGTCTCAACAAATTGATCAGGCACTATATCAAATGCAAGGATTATTATATTTGAAGATTTTCGGGGGGCAATTGTGCATGCCAAAATTCTGTGCATCACTCTGCCTTCTCTCCCTCCCAGTTTTGGCCTCTGTGTGCCTTGTTGGGTGTGTATGTCTGTGTCTCGCTCTGTGAGAGTCGTTTCATCCTCCTCTCCCATGTTTACAATGGCTGTGGAATGCAATGTTGACCCAACCACTGAGCTGAGCCACTGTACATTCTGTTCTGCTATTATTCATCCAAGTTACTTCTTGATCTGGTATTTACGTGAAGGCAGTGATGCCTGTTGACTTTCGAGGCACAGACTGGCTCCTGAGCCACCCAGCCCTGTTGTGGGACCCGCTCCTCACTAAGCACTTTGTTTCACCGCATTCCCAACATTTCTAAAATATCTGAATTGTAACACACACATTTCGTACTAAATCATGTGAGAATGTTCAGTGCCCAAAGACTGACTGTTCCGGAAACTACTCACAACCCAGATACCAATAGTTGTGTTACTTCAGGCTATGACTTTTTCATCGGCAACTGGGAACTTTGTAGTCTTATCTAACCAGAACTGTCATTATGAGGAGACCAATTTACAATGAGTGATTGACAGAGGCTCATGCTAGTTTGACGATAGATTCAATCCGAGCCTTAAGTGGTGGATGAGGCAGGTAAAGCAGAGGGAATAGTGTTGTGACACACCTGATTGATAGATCACCTCATTCATACAAGCACCATTGAGAGCAATACAGTACACCATAGCAAATACACAGCCTGTTGATTCTCTCTTGGTGTCAGATGCACTCAGTTTAGTTTAAATGTGTAATTTATTTTGATTATTGATTAATGAATGAGCCTGGCATAGTGGTAGCACTCTCGCCTCTGAGTCAGAAGGTTGTAGATTCAAGCTGCATGTCAGCACTTGGAATCACATAGTCTAAGCTGATGCTCCAATGCAGTGCTTGAGGATGTTGCATTGTCAGAGGTGCTGTCCTTCAGATCAGATGTTAAATTGAGGTCCGGTCTGTCTGTTCAGGTGGACATTAAAGATCTCATGGCACTATTCAAAAAGAGAAGGGAGTTTCTCTCACCTGGTGTCCTGGCCAACAATCCCCCATATAAAATTGGTCATTCACTCAATGGCTGTTTGTGGGCTATTGCTGTGCACAATTGGCTACTGTTTTTCACCCACAAAATACAGTCAATCCATTTTTCAGTGTATGCTGTGAAGCGCATTAAGACGTCTCAAAGACATGACAAGCCACTATACCTGATGCAAGGGTTATTATTATAATTAATATAATTGTTCAGCCAAGCTTTCAGGTGGACTGCGTTCTAGGGTAGCCCTGGCATTCACGTTAGTACTGTTGGAATTGTGGGCTACAGCCAGAGTAACATTATTATTTATTATTAGAACACATCCACACGAAGACTTGTGTAGAAATACGCTTCCAGTGGTCACTGAACCCCTCTCTTACAATGTGTAACTGTTTATCCAATGTGACTATTTGGCCAGAGCCACTTGCCCCATTGCCAGGAAGCACTGTAGGGTGGAGTCTGACTTCTGGTCTCCATGCCAGAGACACCTGGGGCGAGGACAACTAGCTGTGCCATTGGCTGGCGCTTACATTATTAGGTCAGAGAATCAAGGGATACACGGCAAAGGGGGGTAAGTGGAGTTGAGGTACAGTTCAGCCACAATCTTATAGAATGGCGGAACAGGCTCGAGGGGCTGAATGGCCTCCTCCTGATCCTATGTTCCTGGTGGGATGCAAACCTCCAGTAAATTGTCAGTCATCTTGCTAGAGATAAATAGCATGACATGTTTTGGATTCCTTGATCTCCGAAGGTCGCCCTTGGTGGCAGGGTTACAGCCAGCACACAGGGCTACAGGGGAGAGGTCCTGTTTGACCACTAATGTTTGTTCTGGTCTTGCAGTCGTTACTGACATGTGATCAGTGAGTCCCCTTTCCTGACCTGTCCTCGCCCACACGCTGAGGTTGCTGTTTGTCCTAAGCATTGGAAGATCAGCAGTGTTGTCTGCAATTCAATCACATCAGTTGCAGGTGAGGTTTTTCTTTTAAGACTCTCGACAGTTGTTTGCAGTGAGCCAGTGATTGGATTGGCCTGTGTAGAGTTAATCTCACAGAAGCTGGGAAATTCTCAAGCCAATACCCAGTGGCGTGACTCCACGGTGCAGAACTGTGCTTGTCTCCACTGTTTGGCACAGGTTGGCAGCCGGCCTCACACGGGCTGTAATAATGAACAACTTGAGGCGGAGCAGAGAATTCACACAGGTGCAGCAGAACTTAACATCAAGGCAGATTCCTAGGAGCTTTGCCTCTGACCTTGCTGTGCCTTACCTGGAAGTGCTTGATGTTGACACTGGATTTTGACACAGAAATTGTGTGCAATTGGCTGCCGCGTTTCACCCACAAAATAAACAGCCGTACCACATTACAATATATTTTGTGAAACACTTTGAGACATCGCAATGATATGATAACTTGCTATATCAAATGCAAAGATTATTATTAATTATCCATTCTCCAGAACAGCTGCGTCAATCACCCTCATGAGTATAAGTAAACCTTGAACCACACAACCTCCATTTTAAGAGCTTTTGCTGATTATAATCTCTGCAGTCTGGGTTCTCATTAACCCCCAACCCTCTCCCCAATCCTCACTATTACTCACTATCCACCTTACCCGGACAATCTTCTGTGAGCTGTAGCTTCTGATTCAAGCTCATTGTTCCCTCTTCCCCATTCCCTTCACTCCACCTTGAGGCTCAAGGCTGTGTCCTCTGGAACTTTTCCAAAGAGAACCCTTAGCTGTTCCCACTCAAAAGCTTCCTAAAAACACACCACCTTGACTGTGCCTTCAGTCAACAGCTTTGCACCTCTTGTTTTCCTTGCTCACTGCTCACCATTGCTTTTCTCAAATACTTTGTCACTCACTTTTATGGGAAGACACTTTATAAACACTGAGAAAGATTTTCCTGTATATATTTCCTCAGAGTGAGAGAGTTTCTGGCTTGTGAGATTCATGGTAAGATTTGTAACGTGAATCTTGCAGGGTCCCTGTCTTGAGGTCACCTCCCCACCACCACCCCTGCCCCATGCAGAATATCCTGGGTTCTGGATCTGACCAGTTCCTGGTTCTACCCAATTAATAATTCTTGTCAAATGTTTATAGGTCTCTTAACTAAACATGATAGACATAGAAGAGCTTAAACATTAATAGTGAGAGCTGGCCACTGGCTCAGTTGGTAAAGTCACCATAAAGGGTCAAATATAAAATAGTCAGAAACCTGTGGTGGAGGTGGCCCACAGGTGCTAATGCCTTGGTTCCCTGTTGGTTAGCTGTCACCTTTTGCATTTTACCTCTTCCTGTCCCCAATTTCCTTTTCAAATTCTGTTTCAACATTGTTGTTTGCTGTTTTAGTTTTACCAGCCCTTGTGACAAAGTGTGAAACTCATAGCGTAGGCTGACATGGCAGTGTGGTGTTGTGTGAGGGGGGAGCGTTGGGGAGGAGTGTTGGGGGGGGAGAGGGGGATGGGGGAGACTGGAGGAGGGGGCTGTACTTTATTGTCGGAGGTGCCGTCCTTCAGATGAGATGTTAATCGGAGGTCTGCCTGCCTGTTCAGGTGGACATTAAAGATTTCAATGGAACTATTGTCCTGGTCAACAATTCCCCCAGAGAGAAAGAAAGGCATCTCTCATTGACTACTGTATATTGCTGTTTGTGGGATAACTGGTTGCCACATTCACCTAGAAATACATCACTGCACCTTACAGAAATGTGAAGCTCTTTGAGATGGTTTGAGGTGTTATAAGGCATAATCAAATACAAGGATTATTTAACTTTCTGCATGAATAAGTTTCTTCCAACCTCTTCACCTCCTCCACTGATAATCCTGAATTTCCAAAATGTTTTATTCATGTTTTTCTTTGTTTTCTTCCCCTTCCCATTTGAAATGACATTACTGTTACATCATAATAATCCTTACATTTGGTAGAACACATTTCACATCAGGAGGACATTTCAAACTCTTCA